CAGGTGGTAGCAATTAAGAGACAGAGAAAGTGAGGGGGTTCTGCAGAAGAGAGAAGTGAAGGGGGAGGAGCCAGGCGCTGGTTGTCCAGCAGTGGCCGGCACCAGGGTGCACTGTGGCCCCGGCCTTTGGGAAGTGGTCTTGTTTGTCCCTGGAACGAAGCACCAGCGTGGTTGGGGGCCAGATCGAAGCAAAATTTGGCCTGGGGACAGTCGTCTTCGCACTTGGTACTGAGGAAGCACGTGGATCACCGTCAGGTTTCTGGCCACCCCAAGGCTGTTCCTGGGTTAGGAGGAGTAGTTGGGTGTGTGGACTCTCAGCCAGTGTCTGGGACCAAACCTCTGCTCTAGCCTTCCCCATTCTTCTCCTCCTTCCTGCCTCCCAGCCAAGACAGCGCAGCTCTGTAGACTGTTGGCTAGGTGGGATGAGCCCCAAGGCCATCGGGTGCAAAGGGGAGGGATGGGTGGGTGTCATGAGCCCAGGATGAGGGCATCACAGGACTGCATTAAGGCCTGGGTGGCACACTTGGAAAAACCACCCGTCTCTCAGTAAGCGTGTCTCCTTCTCCAGGCTGTGCTGGGATGCCCTTCTCTGACTGAGAGAGAGAGACTAGGACAGTGCCTGTGACATGCCACTTGTGCCTGACATGCACTCAGCATGAGTCACACCTTAATAGAGGTGTCAGGATCTATAGGCCACCGTCTCAGTGGGGGCCAGATCTCACATTTGTCAGGCTGTTTTCTGAGCACCATTGCCTGTAATTTGTGCTTTTGTGTCTCCTTTCAGAATCCAAAAATGGCAGAAAAAGCCATTAAGTGTCAGAAAGCAGTTCTCGACCCGCCGCTGTCAAGAACACCACAATACAATCTGCTTTAGAGGTTCCAAATACAGCCATAGTCATTTATTACTGAGAGGCTCCAAACAGCTTCTTGGAAGAGTCAAAATATTGGTCAAATTTAAGGCCTCACTGTCGTGCAATTTGCAGGCAGTTGTAGAATCTGGGACAATTCTTGTTGCTGTTCTTGCTAGATGCTGCCCAGTTAGTTCTGACTTATGGTGACCCTGTGATCCTTAAAACAGAACAAAACACTGCACCGTCCTGTGTCACCCGCATAATTGGTGCTGTGTTTCAGCCCATGGTTGCCCAGCACCGGTCAGTCTGTCTTATAGAGGGGCTTCCTCTTCTGCACCGACCCTCTACTTCACCACGCAGGATGCGTTTCTCTGGGACTGAGCCCACCCGATAGCATCTCCAAGGCATGTGAGCCATGTCTCACCATCCTCCCTTCCAAGGAGCATTCTGTCTCTACTTCTTCCAAGACAGATTTGTTCTTTTGCCAATCCATGGTGTATTCAATATTCTTTACTGAAACCATAATTCAAATGCACCAGTTCTTACTCAGTCTTCCTTATTCATTGTCCAGCTTTCCCATGCATATTAGACTGTCGAAAATGCCATGTCTTGGGTCAGGCACACCTTAGTCCTCAAAGTGACATCTTTGCATTTAACACTATAGAAGTCTTTTGCAGCAGATTTGCCCAATGCAGTACATCCTTTGATTTCTTGTCTGCTGCTTCCATGGGCCTTGATTGCAGATCTTAGTAAAATTAAATTCTTGAAAACGTCAATCTTTTTTCCAATCTTGAATCTTATCATGATGCTTATTCCTCCAGTTGTGAGGATTTTTGTTTTCTTTGTGTTGAGGTGTGATCCATACTGAAGGCTGTATGTAGTCTTTGATCTTCATCAGTGAGTGCTTCAAGTTCTCTTCACTTTCAGCAAACTAGATTGTGTCATCTGCATAGGTTGTTAAGGAGTCTTCCGCATAGGTTGTTAAGGAGTCTTCCTCCAACCTTGATGCCTCATTCTTCTTCATATAGTCCAGCTTCTCAGATTATTTGCTAAGCGTACAGATTGAATAAATATGGTGAAAAGATATAACCCTGAACACACCCTTCCTGATTTAAAACCACACAGTATTTCCTTGCTCTGTTCAAATGACTGCCTCTTGATCTATGTTCAGGTTCCTCATGAGCCCACTTAAGTGTTCTGGAATGTTATCCATCATTTGTTATGATTCACATAATTGAATGCCTTTGCATAGTCAATAAAACACAGGTAAACCTCTTTCTGATACCCTCTGCTTCTGATCAATAGCCATCTGCTATCAGCAATGAGATCCCTAGTTCCATGTCTCCTTCTGAATCCATGTTGAATTTCTGGTAGCTCTCTGTTTATGTACTGTTGCAATTGTTTTGAATTATCTTCCACAAAGTTTTACTTATGTATGTTATTAATGATATTGTTTGTAATTTCTGCATCCTAATGGATCACATTTCTTTGGAATGGGCACAAATATGGGTCTTTCCCCGTTGGTTGGCTGGGGAGCTGCCTTCCACATTTCTTATCACAGATGAGTGACCATTTCCAATGCTGCATCCATTTGTTGAAACATCTCAGTTGGCATTCTGTCAATGGAGCCTTGTTTTTTGTCAATTCCTTCAGCGCAGCTCAGACTTCTTCCTTATTATCATTGGGTCTTGAGCATATTCCATCTCCTGAAACAACTGAATGTCAACCAATTCTTCTTGGTACAGTGACTGTATTCCTCCCATCTTCTTTTGATTCTTCCTGACTAGTTCAATGTTCTGCCTGTAGAATCTTTCACTGCTGCAATTGAGGCTTGAAGTTTTTCTTCACTTCTTTCAGTTCGAGAACTACTGAGTGTGTCCTTCCCCTTTGGTTCTCTCATTCCAAGGGTTTGCACAGTTCATTATAGTACTTGACTCTGTCTTCTTGAGCCCTTTTGCAATCTTCTGTCTGGCTGCTTTGCATTACCATTCCTTCTGTTCACTTTAGCTGCTCCATGTTCAAGATAAAGTTGCAACATCTCTTCTGACATCTGCATTGGTCTTTTCCTTCTTTCCTGTCTTTTTAGTGACCTTTTGCCTTCTCTAATGCTGTCCTTGATGCTCTCCCCCAACTCATCTGGCCTTTGGTCATTGGTGTTCAATGTGGCAAATCTATTCTTGGGGTGGTCTCAATTCAGGTGGGACATACTCAAGGTCATACTTTGGCTTTTGTGGACTTGTTTTAATTTTCTTCAGATTCAGCTTGAACTTGCATAGGAATAATTGATAGTCTGTTCCGCCATGGACCCCTGATCTTGCTCTGATATGATATTGAGCTTCTCCATAGTTTCTTTTCACAGATGTAGCCAGTTTGATTCCTGTGTATTTCATCAGGCGAGGTCCACATATAAGAACTTTGTTTCTATTGTTGAAAAAGGCATTTGCAATGAATAAGTCATTGGTCTTGCAAAATTCTATCACATGATCTCCAGTGTTATTTCTCTTACCACGGTCACATTTTCCAACTTCCGATGCTGCTTCTTTGTTTCCAACTTTCAGATTCCAATCACCAGTAATTATTAATACATCTTGCATATATTAATGGATGCTTGCATGTTTGCTTGTTTTGGAACAGCAGAAGTTGGTAAAACTCATTTTCTTCATCTTTGGCATTAGAAGTTGGTGTGTACATTTGAATAACTGGTCTTCCTTGTAGGTGTATGATCATCATTATATCACTGACAGTGTTGTACTTCAGGATAGATCTTGAAATGTTCTTTCTGGTGATGAATTTGACTCCATTCTTCTTCAATTTATTATGTCTAGCATAGTACACCATATGTTTGCCTGATTCCAAATGGCTAATACCAAGCTATTTCAGCTCAGTAATGCCTAGTATATTGATTTTTATGCATTCCATTTCATGTTTGATGGCTTCCAATTTCCCTAAATTCATACTTGTGTACATTCCACATTCCTATTACTAATCAGTTTTTGCAGCTAATTTTTTCTCATTTTGAGTCATGCTGCATCAGCCAATGAAGGTCCTCAAAGCTTTATTCCATCCTGGTCATTAAGGTGGACTCGACTTTGAGGAGGCAGCTCTTCCTTAGTCACATTAAGTGCCTTCCATTGAGGGGCTCTTCTTCTGGCACCATATCAGACAGTGTTCTGCTGTTATTGGTAAGGTTTTCATTGGCCAGTTGTTCTAAGAAATAGATAACCAGGTCCTTCTTCCTTGTCTGTCTTCAAGCTCTGCTGAAACCTGGCCATCATAGGTTACCCTGCTGGTATTTGAAATACCAGTGGTACAGCTTTCTGCATCACAGTAACGCACAAACCACCACAGTTTGACAAATTAACAGATGATCTGGGATTGGGCCTTGTACAGATCTCTGTGGATTTAAAGCTTCCACAGTGGAGCCTACAGGCTCTCTACAGCTCATGTTTGCCCCAGTCTCCACCCCTCGCTGTTGCCTCATACCTAACATATTTCTGTCTTTACCTCATCTCCCTGACTTGGTTTGTAGTGTTGGGACCATTTTTGTCTTTGTCAAACTTAACAAAGACAGAACAATCAGGAACTGGCTTGCTGGTGACACCATCTGGATTTTGCTAACATAAAGTGATTTTTACTTAAAATGCATTGGTTCTCTAACTCCCAGGCTTGTGTGAGGACAGAGCTGTCTGTCTGCCCTGCCCTGCCTGCCATACCACCTGGCTGGCTGGGTTTTTTGAAGTGGGGCACACAGTCTCAGCTGCCCCTTGGGTGCAGAGTGAACTACCTGTGGCTTCCCCTCTGGGCGTGATCTATCACATGACTGGACACTGAAGTCTGTCCTCCATCTTTTTTCTTGGTCGTGCAATTTTGTCATGTGAAATGTTTTCAGTTTCCCTTCAACATGCTGCATTTGGTCTTTGCCTTTGGGTAGCTTTTAGAAGTCCAGTCCATTAGATGTCAGCATAAACCCTTGGGCCATGAAAACTTTCTTCCCCATCCTCAGCGATTTTCTCTAAAATCATCAGTTGCCTCCCTCCTTCCTCCCTTGCCTCTCTGCATCTCCTCTCTGGCAGTGAGTGACTGTCTCTCAGGCTGGGAGAGACTCCTCAGAGCCCACATGCTGCCCCAGGTATCTCCAGAGAACACCAGATTCTCACAGTCCCATCCATTAAAGTGTGATGCTCGCCTGGGATCTGTTCTCTGCAGCACCGTACAGGCTGAGTTTCAGCGATTCTGCTGGCTGGACCTGCTCATCTCGTCAACACCCATGGGACCTCCACAGACTCCAAGTTCTATGTTTTCACCAATTACATTTATTCAATTTTAATCAAACAGGATTGAGTTTTAAATTTCCAGTTCTGTTTAAATACCTGTTAAGATAATTTTCTCCTTTAGTTCATCTTTATCTAGTGGTGAGTCCCCCATTTTAAATGCCACCATGGACTTAAAAACCCTCTTGTCTGATTAGCTATTTACTTCTGGTTCCCCAAGGTGTGATATAGATTTAACTTGGAAATTACAAGACACAGGGTTGGCAAGAGCTTTGGAGGGCTTATGGTCTAGAGATTATCAAACAATAAGAAATTGAAGAACTCATTAGTGGGTTAGGACCAACATTGTTTTTAACTAAAATCCCATTGAATAGGAAATGTAGGAGTAGGGAGCATGGTTGGACAAGGTGAGTGTTAGTTCAGGACAGAACCAGAGGGAGCAGATCTGGGCCAAATCCCAGCCTCTTCACTTACTGCGTGATACTGGGCCAACTACTGAATGTGATTCTGAGCTTCAACTTTCCCATCTGCAAAATGGAGAAATAACAGTGCCTACCAACGTCATTATTGTTAATATCATCAAGATGGTTCTGACTCTTAGCGACTGCATGTGCGACAGAATGAAACGATACCCTTTCCTGCGCCATCCTGACCATCAGTGCCATGCTTGAGCCCGTTGCTACAGCCTCTGTGCCAATCCGTGCCATTGAGGGTCTTCCTCTTTTTTCACTGACCATGTACATCATGATATCTGTCTTCAGGAACCACTCCCTCCTGACATCATGAGCAAAGTATGAGAAACAAAGTCTCATCATCCTCCCTTCTAAAGAGCATTGCAGCTGCATTTCATTCAAGACAGATTTGTGTGTTCTTCTGGCAGGCCATGGTATATTTGATATTCTTCATCAACATCATAAGTTAAATGCATCAATTTTTTGTTCTTCCTTACTCATTGTCTTGCTTTCTCATGCATTTGAGGAGATTAAAAAGACCATGGCTTGGGTCAGGTGCAACTTAATCTTCAAGGTGATATCTTTACTCTTTTATAGCAAGGTCTTCTGCAGTAGATTTGCCCAGTGCAGTACGTTGTTTGATTTCTTGACTGCTGCTTCCATGGGTGTTGATTGCGGATTCAAGTAAAATGAAATCTTTGAGAACTTTAATCTTTTCTCCATTTATCATGATGTTGCTTATTGGTCCAATTGTGAGGAATTTTGTTTTCTTTTTGTTGAGGTGTAATTCATATTTAAGTCTGTAATCTTTGATCTGTATCAGTAAGTGCTTCACTTTCAGCAAGCAAAGTTGTGTCATCTGCAATATTGCGGGTTGCTAATGAGTCTTCCTCTAATCCCGATGTCTGATGTCATGCTCTTCTTCATATAGTCCAGCTTTTTGAATTATTTTCTCAGCATACAGATTGAATAAGTATGGTAAAATATTACAACCCTGACACGTCTTTCCTGATTTTAAACCATGTAATATCCTCTTGTTCTTTCAAATTATTGCCTCTTGGCCTAGGTACAGATTCCTCATGAGCACAATTAACTGTTCTAGAATTCCCATTCTTCACAGTCTTATCCATAATTTGTTATGATCCACACAATCAAATGCTTTTGCATAGTCTATAAAACACAAGTAAACATCTTTCTGGTATTCTTTGTTTTCAGCCAAGATCCATCTGACATCAGCAATGGTATCCCTCCTTCTGTGGTCCTCTCCTGAATCTGACTGGATTTTCTGGCAGTTCCCTGTCTATGTTCTACTACAACCATTTTCAGCAAAATTTTATTTGCGTGTGATATTAAAGATATTGTTTGATAGTTTCTGCCCTCAGTAGATGGCAACCCCACATGTGGGTCAGTAGAGCTGTGCTCCGTAGGGTTTCCATCTGCTGATTTTTTGGATGTAAGTCATCAGGCCTTTCTTCCAAGGTGCTACTGGGTGGACTCAAACCACCAGCCTTTCAATTAGCTGTGGAGTATGTTAACCATTTATATCACCAAGAGTCACTGCACCAGCCACAGTCGTCTCCATGGGTTGGAAGCAACTGCACAGCAACTGGTTTACCAATAAGGTTATTAGGAGTATGTAATGAGATGATGTTAATTAATTAAGGCTTTTGAAAGGTGCCACAGCAGAAGGGCCTGGTGTGCTTGTACAGTGAATAAATGTAACTAAATGTCCTCCTTGGCCTCTGGGTCACACTGATGTTTTTCTCCCTGGCATCATGGTTGACCATTTGAGGAGTATCAGTGAGTCCAACCAGTCATCTGGGGACTTGGCCTTTCACGGCTTGTCCCTGCTGCCAGCCACCCCATCTCAGACACACTGATGTGTCAATACTCCTCTCTCAGCAACACTGTAGCCTGCCCCCGGAAATGGTATCTAGTACTCATGGGGGCTAAAGACAGTGATGAGCTTTGTGGGAAACCCAGATGTGAACGAGGTCCAGCCTTTTCCTCTTGACACTCACTGCTGGAGAAAATGGGAGGTTTAAACAAAAAGTGCGAGCCCTAGAAGGGGTGGCTCTACTCAGGGAGTAGAGAGTTCCAATCCAAGAGGTAGAGGGGTATTGGACAGGCCTGAGATGGGTGGCACTGTCATCAGGTCAAACGTGAGGTGAGGACCAGAGAAGGGAGAGAGCAGAACAGGGACAAGGCCTGAGTGTGTGATACCAGCTGCAGCCCCCAGATGGCCAAGTCTAGGTGTACAGGGTGGATTTGAGTAGCAAAAGATAGGAAGCTATCCTGGGTCCAGAGAAGAACAGGCTTGAGTCCACCACCCTCAGGTCCTCCACCGCTGTCACTGTCCTATGTGACTGTGCAGCACTGTCTTTGCCCCATGTGACCACACTGCCCCCCTCACTGTTGATCAGCTCTGATTGCGGCTGATTGAGGAATGGTTTTCCTTGGTTGCCTGCTTCGCAGGGTGGAGAGAGGCACTTTGGGGCTGATTGGTGATTAAAGTCTTCAGTGTCTGTGTGCAGCTGACGGTCATGTCCCAACTGTGAGGAGGCTCGAACCTCCCTATAAAATGTGTACTGGGTGTGGCCCCATGCACAACACCTTCAACCTTGTCAAGCTGGGGCTGCATCTCTCACTTTGAATTGAGATCATGAGCCGTTAATTAGCTGTTTTTGAATGGCCCATAAATAGGCCTAATTTGATGGCTTCAAGTATAATTAAGAACCTTGGAACAGTAAATGCCTGATTGTGCAAACTAAAGATGCGATTTCAGGTGGGGATCAGAGTGGTTGTTGTTAGGCACCGTCGAGTCATCTCCAACTCATAGCGACCCTACGCACAGCAGAATGAAACACTGCCCAGTCCTGCGCCAGCTCCACAATCTATATTTGCTATACTTGAGCCCATTGCTGCAGCCACCATGTCAATCCATCTCGTTGAGGACCTTCCCCCCTTTCGCAACCCTCCACCTTAACAAGCATGACATCCTTCTCCAGGGAATGGTCCCTTCTGATGACATGACCAAAGTATGTGAAACGAAGTCTGGCCATTCTTACTTCCAAGGACCATTCCAGCTGCACTTCCTCCAGGACAGATTTGTTAGTTCTTTTAGCAGTCTATGGTACTTTCAGCATTCTTTGCCAGCACCACAACTCAAAAGCATCAATTCTTCTTCCATTCTCCTTATTCACTGGCCAGCTCTCACATGCATATGAGGTGACTGAACATATCATGGTTTGTGTCAGGCACACCTTAGTCCTCAAGGAAACATCTTTGCTTCTCTGCACTTGAAAGAGGCCCTTTGCAGCTGATTTGCCTAGTGCTATATGTCGTCTGATATCCTGACTCAGAAAACTGTCTACAAGCATTTGTCACATCTCCTGGAGCCTCACCTCTTCTGTTCACCATTCCACCTTGGGGGCTAAACTTAATCACGTGCTCATTAGGTTGGGTCTAATAAGTTTTATCTTAGAGATACCAACTGTAAATGAAGGAAATTTCCCATTATGTATTTGAGCAAGATCAGTGAAATTTCTCATCATCAATTTAAGCTACATGCATGAAGATCAGCAAAAAGAAAGGGAAGACTCTCAATAAGATGGATTGACACAGTGGTTGCAACAATGGGCTAAAGTACACCAATCATGTGGATGGTGCAAAACTGGGCAGTGTTTCATTCTATTGTACGTAGGATTGCTATGAGTCAGAGCCAACTCAATGGACCTAAGAACAACAACAACAACACTTGAATGAGATGCACGAAATTTCTCATCATATACTTGAGTTAGATTTATAAAATTTCCCATCATGCACTAGGGTTAGGTGAAGAAACTTCCCATCATGCACTTGGGCTAGATGACTGAAATTTCCAGTCATGTACTTGGGATACTCTTAAAATCAGGCCATGAATGTGGACCCTGAAAAAACTGCTGCCTTCAAGAATTGACCTTTTCCTAAAACCTTGCAGAAGAAACTGTGTTATGAGTCTGAAGATGATGGGAGGACATCTTTCTTGCGATGGCATCAGTAGTCAGATACCATGGACAACCTCAGCTGACTGGACATTTGCACAAGAGAACATTCAGCCATCCTCGCTCCAGAAATGAGAATGGTCTATCACGCATACCTTTGTGATTAGGATGATGTGGCCACACTGCACACTTGAGTCTCAGAGGCACTTTGAACTTAGGTAGACCAAGGAGAAAGCCAGCAATTAAACTCAGCTGGGAAGTATCAGCAATATGTATACCCATGAGCTTCCTGCATGGAAATGGAGTTCTTCCCTCTAAGCCCACTCATGATAGGAAACCATGCCTTTAACAAAATCTGGGTTTCTCCTGTGGAACTTTTAAATAATACTACCTGAAAATAATAGTAATATTAACAACTTCCAACACCTGCTTCAGAGCAGACAGAGTTCTCAATATTCACCCAGCTAGCTCTGTAACAGCCACATGGGGAAGATACTAACTGTCCCCTGTGACATCTCTACAGATGGGGAAACTGAGGCACAGAGGACACACAGCCAGAGGCGAGCTGGGGGTTGAGCTCAGGCCCTTCTCTCCGAACTTCTTTCCCTTTGCCACTGACCGCCCAGGACAAGGGTGGCTTCACAGGGAATAAGTGGCTGTACATGTGTTTCTATCTGCATGGTACTAGTTTCTGTGTTTTATAGTTGTTTCTTCAGAACCCAGGAAAGAAACAAGATACAGATCTGTGGATTGCCTTACATCTTCTCAGCAATAGCAAAATGGTTATTTTATTTAAGAAATAATGTTGTGTAAGTTTCTGCTCATTTGATTACTCTGGTGGCCTAGTGCCTAAGGCATTTGACTGCTAACCAGAAGGCTGGAGGTTCAAACCCACTAGCCACTTCTGAGAAGGAAGGTTGGGCAATCTACTTCAGTAGAAACACTGCCTCTGAAACCCAAGGAGGGGTCACTGTGAGTCAGAACCGACTCAACGGAAGTATGTTTGGTTTTGGTTTGTTTTTGATTACTTTTACTTTTTACACTCTTCAAGTAGTTCTTTTTGGTCAGAGAAATGGATGCCATCAGCTGCCGTAAGTTCCAGAGGGAACTGTGGGCAAGTGGACAGGCCGTCCTGGATCTCCTGGGGCTGGATCCCATTCTCAGGCCAGAGACTACCTCCAGGGGCCCCTGTCCTTTGTCTGTCATTCCTGAGCCCTGTCAGTGGCATTTGACAGTTGTGCTGCTGGTAACTCAGGTTATACCCATGAAGGAAGCCATCTTAAATGTTCTGGCTAGTGGGCTTTTCTGGCTGAACCTCTGCTCTGCTGTCTTGGGTCCTGGGCCCCTCTTTGCTTCTCACCACCACTGGGTGTGAAACAAGGAAGACCCCACTGTGCACCCTGCATTATTCACAGAAGTACCAGAACTTCTGGCAAATGTGGAGCCTGAGCTGGGAGCTCTTGGACTTTGCACTACCAATGACTCGTTCTATGATTCTGTCTTTCCACTTCATTGGCCCCTTCTAAAACATTTCCCCTTTAAAATGAATGGCATCAAGGCTGTAATTCATTTCCCAAATGTAACCAGTAATTCACTAGTCTGATCAGAAGAGGAGCAGCTCAGAGACTGAGCAGGGGGGCTGTGTTTTCCCCGAAGGCAAGGTTCCCCTGAGGGCAGGGCCATGTGGCCAGATTCTGCAGGAATGCTAGACTCTCTGAAACACTGGACACAAGCCTGGAAACTGTCTCTGTCTCCAAGGCTTTGAGAGCCTGGCTCCTCAGGGTGATAGGCCCTGAAGTTAGGGGGTTGACTTCCAAGGGTATGAGGATCATCCTGAGGCCTTAAACAGAAGAACCAAGGAAAAGGGGGCATTCCTGGCAGGATCACCGCCTAGGCAGGTCCGAGGCTGCTTCTCCTCAGCAGTAGATGTCACCTTGTCCAGAAGGCTGAGAATTACCGTGAGCCTCTTGGGGCCAGTAGGGGTGTGCATCTTCCAGACAACCCCAGCTGGTAGACAAGTGTGTCTTTCTGTTGGTGGGTTGTGGTGGAGACCACTGGCTCAGCCTTCCCCTGCTCTTCCCAAGTGAAGGCAGAGAGGGAGAAAGATAAAAGAAGGGAGAGAGGAGGGGAGAGAAAGGGAAAGAGAGGAGAAGGGAAGAGAAAGGGGAGAGAGAAAAACAAGGAGGGAAGGTGAGTAGCAGGAGGGAGGGAGACAGAGATGGGGAGAAAGAAAGGGGGGAGAGGGCAGAGAGAGAGAGAAGGGAGCACCGGTCTGGGGAAGACATCCCGCCTAAAGCCTGTATCTTGTGGCTAGTACCTCAGGCCTGGTGACCCCATCCTTTGAAGTGCTTGGGCTTGGTAGTTGGGGTTGGCCTCGTTCTCCCCAGGGCATGCTGGACCTTTGCTGATCTTGACTTCCACATTGAAGGCTGGCCTGTGTCTGACTTCCATTGGATTCCCCTCTCTGACCCGTGGGTTCTCCCTGGTCCCATGGCCTTATACTCAGACCTTAGCCATGGGCTGGTCCTAGGGACCTAGATAAAGCATGACAGTCCTCTCTCAAGGCAGAGCTCAGAGGGACAGAGTCTCTGGAGAGACTAGGGAGGTAGGGCAAGTGTTTGGAACCAGGGCTATGAGGAGTCAACTACTGTCCAGTGCACTGTGACACCTTAGCTGGGCTTGGGGAGGCAGTAACATCCAACAGGGCATGGGTCCAGTCTGCAGGAAAAAGGGAAGTTGGGGCCAGTGGGGGTGTGCTCTTCCAGACAACCCTAGCTGGTAGACCTAGAAATAAGATATCTGACCCAGAGACAGGCAGGTCAGCACTGGTTAGGACTGGACAGAGTGAAGTTTCCAGACAAGTGGCTAGGGCTTAGAGGTTGTGGTGAAGAGGGTTTGGAGTTATGTGTCTGTGGTTCTAACTTAAGCTTTATCAGTTCAAAGCTGATCTTAGGAGAGTCTTTAGCTTCTCTGTACCTTAGTTCATCATTATAAAATGTAGCATATTTAGAGCTCAGAGGGTAGACAGGAAAATTAAAGGATATAATGTAGTAAAGAGACTTAGTGCAGGGCCTTGTGCAGATTAAGGCTCTGGGCTCTGAGTTGCAATAGTGGTGACAGTGGTGGTGATGGTGGTGATGACTATGGAGGTGACAGTCATTGTAGTGGTGATGGTGGTGGAGGTGATGGGCATGCAGGTGGTGGTGATGATGATGGTGTTGGTGGTGGCGATAGTGTTGTTGGTGGTGTTTATGGTGATGGTGGTGGCAATAGTGTTGGTTGTGATGGTGGTGTTGGTGGTGATGGTGGCAATGGTGGTGGTGGTGGTAATGTTGATGGTGGTGTTATTGGTGATGATGGTGGCAGTGGTGGTAGCAGTGTTTTAATTAATATCAGAGTTCCAAGCCCAGTATGGACCAGATTGACAAGAAAGGAATTGCAGGTTGCAGTAGGAAGCCCTCAAACACACCCTAGGAAAGTTGTGGTTGGCTGGAGGTATAGGTGTTCAGTATTGCCCCAGGCTCCTCAAATGCTGTCCTGGTTTGGGGCAGCTAGTCAATGATAGTCCCACATCTGGGGCCTGAGGACCTCTTGGGGCTGGCCTGGCTCTTATACTTGCAGGTGGAGGCCATGCCCTCATGTGGGCAAGCTGGCTCATCTGGTATGACCATTGTGTCCCACTGCCAGGATGACAGCCTGGCCATGTCCTCAAGGCCCTCTCCATGGCCTCCTACCATCCTCAGAACACAGATACATTCCTGTAGATGGTGTCCAAAAACAAAAGCCTAGCAGGTCCCCAAATGTGTCTGGCTCAGAAGGAGAGTGTGAACAAAATGTCTTTAGATGTTTTATTTTGATTAAAACATTAAAGTGCATGGCAGCTCCTCATGGAGATTGTAAATCTTTACGGGGAAAAATGAGAAAATAGTAATGACATGAAATAATGACTGAGTGTTTCAAAGGTTTGCAATGCCTACTTGGTTTTACATGTGCAACTGTGTAGTGTAGCTCCCAAATTAATTTTTGTAAAATGAGTTATTGACTGCACATATAATTTATTACTAATAAGCAAAATACGTTTGTAACCTGGGCCTGATGGGATACTTAGTAAAGTAGGATGAAGGAGTAATAATATGAAGGAGGGGAGGAGGACAGGCAAAGCAGTGATGGTGGTGAGGAAGAGGAGGGCTGGCTGCCTGGGCTGTGCCACATTACATGTAATTGAATCCTGTGACAGCCCTGCTAATGGCCATTCAATTCTAGTGTTTATGTAATGTCAACCCCAACTCAGGGGTCCCGTGTGGGTCAGAGGAGAGCTGTGCCCCATGGGGCTTTCAGTGGCTGATTGTTCAGAGGTAGCTCTCCAGACCTTTCTTCTGAGTAGCCTCTGCATGGACTAGAACCCTCGATCTTTTGGTTCACAGCCAAGCACATGAACTGTGTACACCACCCAGGACTCCATTGTTCATAGTAGTGAGGTGTAAATAACGGGGGGAAGCTGTTACTGTTTGGTGCCTTTGAGCTGAATCCAACTCATGGTGACTCATTGGGTTACAGCTTAGACATGATGCATAGAGTTTTCAAAGGTTGTAACCTCATGGAAGGTTGTTTCTAGGCCTATCTTTCAAGGTGCCTCTGGATGGGTTCGACCACCAACCTTTCAGCTAGTTGTCAAGAGCTTGACCATCTGCATCACCCAGAGACTCCTGGGCTAAACTAGACCAGTGACAAATAGCAAGTCCAGAGTCCCACCAGCTGTTTTCCTCAGATGTTCCTCTTTGTATTTTCACAGCCACTTGGCCATCCCCTTGTTGGAAAGGGGTCGTGAGGGAGGGTAGGTCAGAGCAGGAACAGAAGCAAAGAGAGTTGGCAAGCTTGTGGCTCCTGCTCAGGACATTACCATAGGGTCCACAGTGAGAAGTAGAGGAATCCACAGTCGCTGGTATGGTCTGTGAGCTGTGTGCAAATTGTGGAAGCTCAGAGAGGGCTTTGTCCTTCTGAGCCTCAGTCTCTTCCTCCCCAAATGGGCACCAACAGCTCCCCATCATTCTTCTTTAAATTATGACAACAAGAGTAGCCAGGAAATAGGTACCTAGTGTGCAGACATTTGAAATCTCTGGCATAGTGCCTAAGGCATTTGACTGCTAAGCAGAAGACTGGTGGTTCAAACCCACCAGCCACTCTTTGAAAAGAAGGTTGGGCAATCTACTTCTGTAGTGATATCACCTCAGAAACCCAAGGAGGAGTAGCTATGAGTCAGATCTGACTTGATGGCAGTGTTTGGTTTAGTTTTTTTTTTGGTGTATACTGGATTTCACTCTGCTGTGCAAGGCCTGGCAGGAAGCTGCCTGGGAGTCCTGGGCCAGACGGCTTGGGTGGAAATGCCGTGATGGGGCAGGAAGTGCACAGAAGGCAATAGGAATGGCTTGAGCTGCCATGTTGCTCAGACTTCCTGGACCTACTCTGTAGGGACTTTTCCTGTTAAATAGAAGCTCAGCCTCTGTAAGAGCATCCTAGCATTGGAGGCAGGATGGAAGTAGCTGATCCCAAAGAGGACTTCAGTGGGAACAATTCTCATCTCACGGAGTCCCTTGGAGGATGCCCTTTCCAGAACCTGTCTCCCTTTTTCATTTTGTTGCCATTTTTCGATGTTTGGGAAGCTGAGAAGCAGCTTCTCTTTCACAGGTTTCAGTTAGAGAAGGAAGTGGCACAGTGAAGGCCAGGAGGGTGGGATTGATGCTTTGCCAGGAGATGGTGGGTCACTGTTTCATTACTAGCATTCCAACAAGGAGACAGGGGGTCAAGGGAGAAAGTGCTGAGATGAACATTACCTGTTCATGTTTACAGGAACCAGTCCTCAGACAGAAAAGGCAGGAGAGCCAGGTGTGACACAACTCCACTGAGGGACAGCATAGGTCTGACCAGGACACAGGGCTGAGTCACAGAGTGGCCAGGAAAGACCACACGATGGGGTGGACAGAGACCAACCCTGAGCCATGGTGGGCTGGACCCTTTGTCCTTGAAAACCTGACTCTGGATTTTGGGGAGAAAGTGTGCCAGGCTCAGAGCCTGGAGATGGGAGAACCGTATATTTAATGCCATAGTCCCTGGGAGATGCCAGGAGCTGGAAGAGCTCACCGAGGGGCTGAGATGAGCTGTGAGCCCCTGTGCCTCTAGGTTTCCTTAGCCCACCTGGAAATGCCTCCAGGCCAGATGAAAGAGCTCACTGAGGGGTTGAGATGAGTTGTGAGTTACCTGCCAGCGGCTGCAGGTCACACTCACCACCCACCTGTTGGCTTGTAACTGGATAGTAAGGAATTTGGCCTCATCTCAAGAGAGGTCTGGCTTTATCCTTTGTCCTTGGTTTTCCTAAACCCTTGGAAATCAAGGGGTGGAACAACCACAGGTAAGAAGGACCTGTGTCCCTGAACTTACCACCCTTGACACTCATTGACTCTTCAGTGAGTGACAGACAATCTCTGAAATTGGACAGTTTAAGACAATGGGACTGTGGAGATATGAACAGTCACACGGTCTACATATTTTTCTTTAAGATAGAGACTCTATGTGTGCTTGGACTACCTAAGGTTTTCCACCAGGAACGGTTTGTCAGAGGATAGAACAGTCATTGGGTATGTCTTGTCATCCACCTCATTAAGCATCCCATCACTCACCATAATGAGCTGGTCCTAGGTGATGAGCCCGTGATCATCACCATGGCAACATATTGGCAGTCATAACGAAGAGCACACCCACCCAGCTGGTTCCGGAACAATGAGTGGCTGCAGCCTGGAGGTTGTTGACTGGGTTTAAGCACTGTTCATGAATGCTTGGACTGTTCCTAGAGCCGGCCTTACTGGAACCTCTTCGACATCCTGGAGGGCTGTTGTCTGTGAGGGTTCTTGGATTGGTGAGTGGCAGTCCTGACTGTTTATGGTCAACAGTGTTGGATGACCCAGTAAGCAAGGTAAACACGGGCTTACTTGTGCATACTTACTTATCTGTGGTGAATAGTTTCACATTGTTTTCATCACATCAAAGATTCTGCTTCTATATATTGCTGCCATCTGTCTCTCTCCCAGCCCCACAGCACCTTCTTACAGAATCAAAGAGTCTGAAAATGTACAATCCCTGACAGGGACACAGTTCCCAGGAAGTAAGGTATGCATTGGCTTACTTGTGCTCACTTACCAATCTTTGATATGGTGAAACCCACGTGAAACTGTTCACTGCAGATCAGGAAGTAAGCACAAGTAAGCCTGTGCTTACCTTGCTTACTGGGTATCCCATCCCTGGTGCTAAGTCAGACCGGCTCAGGCCAGGGTGACCACTGAACCCACTGCCTGCTTCTCTGAATCAGCCAGAACCAGCCTCTTCACCTCAGATCCACCTAGGACGGTGAGCAACCCACCATAAATCACAAAGCAATTTTTAACAGAGGCCCGAGTCTCTAGCTAGAGGCTCCATGTTTTAAATGTTTACTTTTCTCTAATTAAACTGAGAAGTGTGAACACATTCTCTTTAACAAACTGAAACAATTTGGAGTGGATTGAATGTACCTCCTCTGTACTTGATTCTTCTCAGAGGAAACTTCTGTTGACAGTTTGGGATGAAACCCCGGACATTTCCAATGCACTCGTGTGTACTCATGTGTGTTCATGATAAATTGGAAGAATTCTAACCTGGGGTGGATTGTAAGGTACAGGCACACACCTATATTTGAGGGTCTCACGTTTCTACAGTCAGTGGTCATCAGGAAGATTGAGAGTGGGTGCTTGCCTTTGCCCTGTTGTCCACACAGGTGGTTTCTAGGTCTACTTTCTTTCCTTTTAACTCCTCTTTTTTTATCAGAAATTTTTTTCTTCTCTCTCTCTTTTTTTTTTTAATTGTGATTTGGGTGAAAATTTACAGAACAAATTCACTTTCCATACAGCAGTTCACATACACTTTGTCTCATGACATTGACCACAATTTACCACAATGCAACATCTCCCCTCATACTTCCTCCCCATAGCCACCTCTGCCCTGTGTCCATCCCTCCATGCACTTCTGCCCCCTGAGCTGTGTCCCTGTGCATAAGCAGCCCTTCTTTCTCCTATGATTGTTCTCTCCAAGGAGTGTATCTACCTCAGGTAAATGTTCTATTGTTCGGCTAGAAGCCACAGGCGTGGGTTCAATTCCAGACCTGAAGGGCAGCTAGGGGCCATAGTCCCCTAGACTCTATTGGACCTATCAGAAAAATTTTTAAATTTATTTTTTGCTTTTATCCCTTCACCCAAGTTAATATGTATCTGTCCTCTAGTTAGTGGTTCTTCACTCAACCCTGGTAACTATCAAATATGTTTTGTTTTGTTTTGTTTTATGTTTTGTGGTGGGGGGAAACTCTTTTCTTGACTTTTTATAGTAGTGGTCTCATGCAATATTTATCCTTTTGTGATTGACTAACGTCATTGAGCATGATGGCCTCTAAGCCCATCCATGCTATGAGATGTTTCGTAGATTTGTCATTGTTCTTTAATGTTGGCTAGTATTCCAATATGTGTATGTCCCATAGTCTGTTGATCATTCCTGTTGATGGATGTTGAGGTTGTTGCCATCTTTTAGCTATTACAGACAGTGCTGCGACAAAGAAGAGTGTACATCTATCTGTTCGTGTCATGACTCTTATTTCTCTGATATATATACTTGGTAGTGGGATTGCTGGATCCTATCGTATTTCTATTTCCAGCTTTTTAAGGAAGCACCATACTGTTTTCCACAGTGGTGGCACCATTTCACAGTCCCCCAGCAGTGTGTGAGGATTCCAGTCTCTCCACACCCTCACCCAGACTGTTGTTTTCTGTTTCATTTTGAACTTTGCTATTAGCGCTGGGGTGAGATGATATCTCATTGTTGTTTTCATGTGTGTCTCTCTAATGGCTAATGATGGTGAGCATTTCATCTTGCATTTGTTAGCTGCCTAAATACCTTCTTTGGTGAGGTGTCTGTTCATGTCTTCTGCTCATTTTTAATTGGATTATTTATTTTTTGTTGTTGTTGTTGTTGAGGTGTTGAAGTTGTCTATAAATTTTTACAGATAACCCCTTGTCTGATATGCCATAGCTATTTTTTTTTTTCCCAGTCTGTGGGTTCTCTTTTTATTCTTTTGTTGGAATCTTTTGCTGTGCAAAGGGTCTAATTTTTAGGAGGTCTCAGTCACCTACTTTGCCTTCTGGTGTTTGTGTGTTTTTAGTTATATGCGATAGTGTGTTTATGCCCTGAGTTAGGGCCTCTAAGTTTGTCTCTATTTTTTCTTTAATGGTCTTCATGGCTTTAGGTTTTATGTTCAGGTCTTTGATCCAGCTTGAGTTCATTTTTTATATATAGCATGAGATATATGGGTCCTGTTTCATTTTTGTGCAAATAGATATCCAGTTTCGCTAGAACCATTTATTAAAGAGACTGTTTTGTCCCCATTTAATGAGTTTTGGCCCTTTGTCAAAGTTCTTAGTTGGATGGATTTACTCTGGATTCTCAATTCTGTTCCATTGGTCTATGTGTCTGTGGTTGTACCAGTACCAGGCTGTTTAACTACCATGGCTGTGTAATAGGTTTTGAGATTGGGGAGAATGAGTCCTCCTAATTTGTTCCTCTTCTTTATTAGCAGTGCTGTACTTATCTGGGGTCTCTTTCCTTTCCATATAAAATGAGTGATTAATTTTTCCATCTCTTTAAAGAAAGATGATGGAATCTGGATTGGGATTGCATTACATCTGTAGATCACATTGGGTAATGTCGACATTTTTCAGGATATCAAATTTTCCTATCCTTGGCATGGTACAGTCTTCCATTTATGTAGATCTCTCTTAGTTTCTTGTAATAGTGTTTATAGTTTTGTTTCTATAGGTCTGTTGTGTTTCTGGTTAGATTTATTCCTAAGTACTTCATCTTTTGGGTGGTTACTTTAAATGATATTGCTTTCCTGATCTTCTTTTCAGAGCTCTCTTTGTTAGTGTAAAGGAATCTGACTGGTTTTTATATGCTGATCTTGTTCCCTGCCAGTTTGTTGAAACTATCATTTAGTTCCAGTAATTTTCTTAGTGAATCTTTGAAATTTTCTATATATAGGATCATATCATCTGCAACTAGAGATAGTTTTACATCTTCTTTGCCCTATTTGGATGCCTTTTATATCCCTTTCTTGCCTTATTGCTCTGTCAAGGAATCCAATACAATTTTGAATAGAAGTGGTGATAAAGAGCATCCTTGTCTGGTACCCATTCATAAGGGGAGTACTTCAGTCTGTCCCTGTTGGGAATTATGTTGGCTGTTGGTTTTGTATATGTGCCCTTAATTATGTTGAGGAATTTCCTGTCCATTCTTATTTTGCTCAGCATTTTTATCAGGAACGAGTGTTGGATTTTGTCAGATGCCTTTTTTTCTGTATCAATTGATATGATTGTGTGATTCTTTTCCTCTGTTTTATTTTTGTGATGAATTACATTGATTGTTTTTTTAATGTTGAACCATCCTTGCATGTTGTTGTTGTTGTTATGTGCTGTCAAGTCAGAACCGATTCATAGCGACCCCTCCTTGGGTTTCCGAGGCAGTATCACTGCGGAAGTAGATTGCCCCATCTTCCTTCCGAGGAGTGGCTGGTGGGTTTGAACTGCCAGCCTTCTGGTTAGCAGTCAAGTGCCTTAGCCACTATGCTACCAGAGCTCCCCCATCCTTGCATACTCAGTATGAATCCACTTGGTCATGATGTATTATGTTTTTAATATATTGTGAGAGTCTGTTGGCTAAGATTTTGTTGAGAAGTTTTGCATCCACGTCTATGAGAGTTATTGGTCTATAGTTTTCTTTTATAGTGCTGTCTTTGCCTGGCTTTGGTGTCAGGGTTATGCTTGCTTCATAAAATGAATTTGGGAGTGTTCTGGTACAAATATATCTGCTATGTGATATTTTTACTTAGCAATATATCTTGAAGACCAAAACATACTAACGGAATTTCTACCATTTCATCTGTATTTTGCAATTCTTATCACAGACAAAGGGGCCCTTCATATCCATAGGACAAAAAATGCACACACAAAAGGAAGAATCAGTCTTTGAAGGTTACTAGAGTATGTGAGGGGGTAAGTCATTAACTACAACATGTTGTTGTTGTTATGTGCCATCGAGTCAAACCTGGCTCATAATGACCCCTCCTTGGGTTTCCAAGGCAGTATCACTACAGAAGTAGATTGCCCAACCTTCCTTCTGAGGAGTGCCAGGTGGCTTTGAACCACCAGCCTTCTGGTTAGCAGTCAAGTGCCTTAGGCACTACACTACTAGAGCTTCAACTACAACATAGAGATGTTGTATTCACTTAGGTGAAGGGAAAGACAATACATAGGGGGTCAGAACACATGTAAAAAATGGGTGAAATGGAAAGAGGGCACAAGTAGATAATTTACAGAAGCAGAAATGCACGTGTCTTTTTTTCATCAGATGGAAAGGTGTTCAAACACAGTCATAATGATGTTGTCTGTCTGCCTTCATGGGAACCTGGGTTCCATGGGAGTAGGGCTTTATCTGTGTGTTGCCTATTTATTCCCCAGAGCCTACAAGAGGGCTCAGGATACAGCTGGTTCTCAATAAATGTTCATTGAGTGAAAGAATGAAGTGCAAAGTGAATGTCTTAGTGGACATCAGTGTCACCTCCAGATTGTCACAACTCCAAAGCTTGGTGCCCCATTCTGTGGGCAAGGGTGGGGGGGAGCCAGGCTCTTGACCTGTGACTTAAGGATGGTAATTAATTGGCACAATCTTTGAGTCAGTCAATATGGAAGTCTCCGTGAAATCACAAAGGTGCATGGCCTTCAACCCAGCACCTCGTTCATGGCCATTTTCTTTCACATATGCTCACTCAGGTACTGGGTAAGGTATGTGCCAGAGTGCTCATTGCAACAAGATCTGTAATCATAAAAGACCAGAAACAACCCACATGTCCATCCACATGGGGTAGTTACACAAATTAGGGTATATCCGTGCAACAGATATTGTAAGCCATTAAGAATGACAATGAGTTTTATATACCAAGATCTCCAATAAATATCATTGGGTTAAAAAAAAAAGGTAAGAAACAAGTGTAGATTATATACATTTATATACAGAACAAGAAAGAATAGAAATGATATATAGCCTCTTTGTTTGTAAATGCATGAAATATTTAAGGAAACTGGCAGAGCACCGGTAACATTCGTGTTTCCAGGAGAGAGACTGTGAGACCGGGCTTAGGCATGGAGGGAGGTATGCCACATTATATCTCTTTTGAAATTTGAATTGTGAATATAGTTCCATGACAAATTTAAATGGATTTAAAAAGATCCGCACACAATCACGTCCCACATATACATAATTTACACATGCAACAAACCAAAGTCAAACTCTTGAAGTGTTTGTGTGAAGCATTATTTGAATTTTCCATCATAATGATCTTGAATTAATGTGGGTTATGTGCCTGTTACTGAACTAGCAGTAATTGAAGCATGGAAATCTGGCTACTAATTAGGTGTTGGGGACTGCCTAGAAGTAAAATGGTTTTTGACAATATTTATTTGCTTTTGTTTCAGGAATTCTTTTCTCCCAGACTAGGACCTCTATGTTTCCATGTGGTTTAAGTAATTGTGCAGGCAAGAGGGATCTTTTATCTCCCTGTAAAAGCTTGGAGACCTCTTTTCTAGGCATTCTGTATGGGAGGGAGCAGGGCATACTCATTTTTATT